GTCAAATACAGTGAAACCAGTGAAAATGTTGAAAATACCATGATATAAAATTTTGATCATATCGCCCAGCTCTAACCTCGGTCACATTTTCCTGCATGTATAATTTTAGGCTTTTGTGGGATGACTTCCTGTTTCTGTCTTTTTCTTATAATAGATTTGTCAGTTTGATCCCAGTGAATAAGGCTTGGTATCTGCTAGTCGTTAACCACCAACTGTGGTTTGGTTCTAAATAGGGTCACTCAGCTCTCCTCCGGTCTTTGTTAAAAATGACCATCACAGGAAATAAGGAAAAATGTGAGTAAAAGGAAGTTGACCTAAAATAATTGTATTGTCCACACATACAGGAAAAATCAAAAACTTATGTTTGTTTTAAATGACTATTTATTCATTTTTGCTTTTTATACCAAGTCTGTGTGTTTTGAAAATATTTGGTCTCATTAAAACATACAGGGAAAAAATAAATCAGAGTCAAAACTGTATTGTTTTTAATTATTGTCTGCTTTTAAGACTTCCATGAGATTCAGATTTATAAAAATACTCTGCAAACTATTGGGCAAAATCATATTGTGAAYAATTAATCACCAGTAAAACTGTCAATTAATACAGTATTTGCCCCTTTGAAATCACTGCAATTAGTGCCACGTGATGATGACGCATATTTGTGTGCAGCACTCTATCGCTATCAGGCGTGCTTATTAGCCCAATAGTGGAATGCAATGTGGAGCAGCTAACCCTAACCATAAAAACTTGTTTAATCACCTGAAACATTGACGTAAACCAGAGTACGAGGGAAGTCGGAAAATGTGGACCAAGGCCACAACGTTTGTCATCTTTAATTAGCATATTTATACTTATCGGCTAACTGCCACAATTAATTGTGATAAATCTTTATGTCAATATTTCCCAACCCAATTGTGAACTTATTTTAAATCATGTCTGACATTTTTAAGACTCAAATCTTATAAAATACTCAGTTTGACAAGAAAGTTTTATCTGATATCTTTATTGTTTTATTTGGCAATTTTTTATTTTTGTATTAATCTAATAATTAAAAGCATATATTTGAAAATCTTATCTGTGCATAATTGTCAGCAATCATTACTAATTCATATTACCAAGTATTTTTTAATACAATGAGGAGTACCAGATTAAAACATATAAGGAGTTAATTTAGCATAACTTAAATCAAAGTTAAAAGATTTTTGCAGTTCTACTAGAAAACCACAAATACAAGTTTTACAAATTTGGTTTACTGTATCTCATTTGGTTTACATGTGACGTGCATGCTTCATTCATGGTTCTAATGTTACTGTGTGGAGTCAGTTCAGATGGACTGTGTGATTTATCTTATTTTTTCACCAGCCTGGTCTCAGTAAATGCTTGTGGCTAGGAGGTGTTTAGTCTCTGTTGTAAAATAGAACAGCTGTTTTTTGTTTCATACCACAACAACAACAACAACAACAACAACAACAAAAACAAACTCCAAAACACCTCAGGGTGCTTTTGGCTACCATCTCTATTTTCTTTCAGACCACAGAAAGCTTCTTATGACTCAATTCTAATAGCTATTAGAGGCGGTTTTCCGTCTGTTCTGTGTCTGCAGGAACTGGTTTGAGCTTTAAATCAGATCATTGTTAGGCCTTGTAAGACCTAATTGTGTAATAACAATGCATTATGTAATAATGTAATAAAATCAGGCTTCAAAATGTAACTAGATACCGCATAGCGGTAACATAATGACCCCCGCACACACAAATGCACCAGAACTTAGAAATCTTTATTCCTAATAAATGTCATGCTACTAGGTGCATCCCAAAATTTAAGTGGTTTGGGTGGGGGTCTTTTTTTGGTGGGGGGGGGGCCTCATGCTAGCCCCTCATCAGAGCTAAACAACAAAAGAAATCTGAAGCTGAGTGGAACAGAGTTGTACAGTGTAGGTCAGACTCATCTACAGTCCTGCCCAATTTCATGTTGATTGGTGCAGCTATTTTTGTGCTACGGTTGAATAAGTATCACTGAAAAAACAAAACAAAAAAAAAAAAAACATACGAAAACAATATGGCTCCCGCATACGCTTCGTGTGCGGGGATCATAATAAACTCGCACTAAAACCGCATTATGTAACAATTGACACATAATGTAATAAAAGTCTTCAACGCATTTTGTAGTACTTGCAGCCACATTATGTAATAACATTATTACATTTTGCTGCAATTATTACAAAATGTGGTGGTGTACTAATCTGGTGCATTATGTAATAAACAATCTTAAACCAGTATTTCTGTTCATCCTAATCAATAATACTTGTAATAACTGTCATGTTGCAAATACTACATAATTAAATCTTTATAACTTTGGTCAGTAAACACAGAAAGTCTCATCTTTTATTTGCATTTTCAGATTTACTGTCCTGATCCCTGTTACAGAAATTATTCCACTTTGTAGACAACTCTCAAAATATATCTAAAGGTTAGTTGTACATACATGTCAAACCCTTCAGACTTTAATCTGTATAACAAGCCTTAAAAATGAGTAATTCTCATAAAAAATCTGTAT